CTCTCTCTCTCTCTCTCTCTCTCTCTACCTTCCACTTGAAACCCCACAATTTTAGGAAGCCCCCATCCATCTCAACCCCCACAAAAAATAGAACTATATTCTCATAACAATATATCCTAACGAACTCCCATAGAGAATTCAATAGTATTTTTCAACTGTTGCAGTCGCTGTTTAATTTTGCTTATGCCTTTTCGGATACCCCTCATGGCTGTGTTCATGCTCTCCTTAACTTGTTGACCCACAAATTCCATTATTTGTGGCAATATATTCTCAAGTATAAGAGTAGGTTTCAACAACATTGTAATTGATGTATCTTATTGCTTTGATACCAACTGATACGTGAAAAAATAATAACAGGAAAATAAAAATAAGAAGGGTTGAGAGATTATACACTCTTTATGAGTCTGTAGAGGAGCCAACCTCAAAGATCTTTTTACAAGACCTAAATTCTTTACTTAATTCCAATCTCTTTTACAAAGAAGGGACCTTTTTCCCTTAAAAACAACTAAAATAATAAAAATAAAATAAAAAATAAAAAACACATTTATATCTCTCCTACGATTCTCTTCTTTTCTCTCTACCTACTTTTCCTATTTCTATTCTCCCGTACATTTTCCCTCTATCTTCTTTTTCTTTTCTATCATGTGGACCCTTATCTCTCTCTCTCTCTCTTTCTCTCTCTCTTATCTCTCTCTAACTTCCACGTGAAACCCCACATTTTTAGGAGTCCCCACCCATCTCAACCCCCACAAAAAGAGAAACATATCTTCATATAATTCTATCCTAATCAGCTCCCATAGATAATTTATTATTCTATCATTTAAATCTCTACAATTAAGCAATACAGTAATAACCCTAAGGAAAATTAAAATCTCAAATAACACTTTTTCTAAATTTTTTTTAAAAAAACCAATTTTTATTTGCATCAAAGGGAGTGGTGGGATCGAGAATAAAAGGGGGTAATAGATACCCCTTGTAGATGGTATTCGCAATCTTGACTTTTATACTCATCTACAATGTCCATTAAATGCACTTTGTAGATGGCTGTGTGTACACCCTCATGGCTGTGGTAACACAAAATCTGATTTTATTATGAAATAGTAATATTGGCTTGATTTAGGTTAGAATGGGTTTTGTTAATTTCATTAATCTTAAAATTGCGATGAATCTGACACACTTGATTTGGCTTCTCTCTCTCTCTCTCTCTCTCGGTCTTACACACACACATACACACCCACACGGGATTGTCTACAAAGAGACCATATATCTTTTGTACATGGAGCTCACAATCATTCTTGTTCAAAATTGGTGGTTGTAAGAGTGTCATTGAATAGACACAAAGTTCCAAGGAAAAAATTCTTGGACTTCCTGACTCTTCCCAAGCCATCCAATTTGACATCTAATGAGTGGGAATGATTATGACCTCTATGTACAAACGATAAATGGTCTCTTTGTAGAAAATCCCCCGCACACACCCCACACCACATTAATGCACACATGCTTCTCATGGATTGAATGCCACTAGACACGCAAACACCAAGCTATTGTCTATAAATTCGCAAATACGGGCTTAAGAAACTGAGTGTTTCTGGTTCACTTCAAAGTTTTCAAATTTTCCAAAATAGTAAATATATTTGGGATCGATGTTCAAAATTTGGACACCTTATTTGCTTTCTATCTGTTGTTACTATGCTTTGTGCTAAGTTGCTTTTTGAAATGTTTTGGCTTAATTGTTAGCTGTTTCGTTCTCAGAAAATGTTGATCATTCTTATCTTTGGGCTATCATCTTGTGGCATATAATATGTTCCTTTGCTTCCCTTTTATGTTCAAATAACAGGTGAAAGGTGAACCGAATATATCATACATTTGTTCACGCTATTATAGAGCTCCTGAGCTCATATTTGGGGCAACTGAGTACACAACGGCAATTGACATGTGGTCTGTCGGATGTGTTCTTGCCGAACTGCTTCTTGGATCGGTAAATTAAAGTTATTTCCTTCTGTTCTGACTCTTTTTTATTGTTGGAGATGAATTCTCATATTTATTCTTTTGGCATCTAATGTTTTGTATTGTTTTGTTTTTCCATGTTCATTGTTGACAGCCTCTTTTCCCTGGCGAGAGTGGAGTAGATCAGCTTGTAGAGATCATCAAGGTAATACTTATTTATATGCAATACACACAATCATGTACATGCATGCACACACATTCAGAAATGCAGAGAGACATGGAGTCACCCTTAAATTTGCCCTTTTTTCTGTGGTCACATGCAGGTTCTTGGGACCCCTACACGTGAAGAAATCAAATGCATGAATCCAAACTACACTGAATTCAAATTTCCACAGATCAAAGCTCACCCATGGCATAAGGTAAACAACCTTGTTTTCTTTATTTGCCTTGTATTTGTAAAGATTTGAGTCTTCTTGTGCAATGAGATAATATTCTACTAGGCTATGTTTCGTTCAGATATTCCACAAACGTATGCCTCCAGAAGCTGTTGATCTTGTCTCAAGGCTTCTTCAATATTCACCAAATCTGCGCTGCACTGCTGTAAGTAGAAACATTTCTTCTTTCATTCCTTGCCATTCACAATTGTGCAAGTTTGATATTTACATATGCTAGATGGATAGATGGATAGATATGTATTTTGGTGATGATTACTTGATTATCTTGGATTCTTATCACTATTGAGTAACCACCAAATATGATTCTTGAATGTTTTTGAAGCCCCATTCTCATCATTTATAACAGTAATAGTTTCAGTCCAATCTTCTGCCAAAGATGCTTGTTTCTTGTCCCTGATCCGAATATTGTGCGTTCAGGTTAGGTGTTACAGAGGATTTTCGTAAATTATTATTTTTTTCTTGGATGCAGCTGGATGCATGTGTGCACCCTTTTTTTGATGAGTTGCGTGATGCTAATGCTCGTCTTCCTAATGGGAGGCCCTTACCCCCACTCTTCAATTTCAAACCCCAAGGTTTCTCTCTCGCTCTCTCTCCCACAAATATATTGATGATATTATATAGAGAATACATCAAAAAATTCCATTTTCTTATTGGAATTTAGAAATAATCTTGTGTATTTTATATTTTCTATTGAAGTCCCACTTTGTGAGTGCAAATATATAATACTTTAATTTTATTTTCTTTACATCAGATTAAACTCAAATTTGGGGTTCACATACTTCTCCACCATCAAACAAATGTAAAAAATACAAAAAGAACTAATTCGAAAGAAACACAACAACCAAAATACCCTTGAAGCTTACAAGGGTATTTTGTTATTTTTTAGGAAAAAGTTTCTATAGAGCCGAGGCTCTTAACACAATCAAATTAGAGCCCATCTCAAAATATTTCACTAGAAGAGGTTGTTTTGATACCCAAATATCCTCAAATTGATAATCTCGACCTCAAGATGCATGGACATGAGAAAAAAATGGATTTCAATTTTTGAAAATAGTACATCTTGTAATGCATTTTTTGACTGTCAATTTTCAAGATTCTCAAGTTTTCATAGATATGCTTGATCTACACTATTTTTGAAGCTTTAAATTTTATATTGGAGATGTAAATATATTTTAAGGCTGTCACAAAGATTTCCAATATTGAACCATATTTCTCGACACTATTTAAGGGTGTGCTTTACTTTCATTGTTTAGAACCTTGGCATTATACAAACCGCACCCTATTTTTTATGGATTTAACTTTTTATATTTTTATTAGGTACATGATGGTGAGAAGTATTGCACTAAAATTCGACCCTAATCTGATGAATAAAGATATCTAATTTAAATACAATACACATTCAAAAGGAGGGGCTTGACCATGAAATATATAGTATAGGAGACTTTTAAATTCTGATAATAAAATAGGCTTTTTATATAAATTTACCTGTAATTTGTGTACAAATATATTGATGATATCATGTATATAGAGCTGAAAGGTGCATCACTGGAGGTCTTGGCAAAGCTGATCCCTGAGCACTCACGAAAGCAGTGCCCGTTCCTTGGCATCTAAAGGGTCACTGTGGGTGTGTCCCGCAAAACTTGTAAGTGTATAATTATTTGTTCTGTTTTAGTTGGGAATGGAATGACAGTCAGGATGATGGTGGTTGTGGGGATCGGTGTTGTAGATTTGTGTTTGTGATCCACGCCATCTTAAAATCTCATATTCAACTGGGTAATGGAAAGGGAATGTGCCAGTGGGCGGGATGCTGACCTTCCTTTTTGTAGTTCGGTTGTGGATTGATATTTTCTTTTATATTATATTCTCTCAATTGTGTTGTACATGACCTGTGTGTGTGAGAGAGAGAGAGAGAGAGAGAGAGAGAGGGGTAGGTAGGTTGGAACGTACTTTGGTAGGAGAAATTGACAACTTACCACGGTAGTCTGGGTAGGGTACCTGGCTTGGCATCCTCAAGATCACAGCAACAGGTCCATATGAGCTAAAGGTTGTCTAAATAGGTTAATATTGAATAATTTCTATTCTCATGAATCTCTTACATAACATTTTCAGTAGTGAGAATTTAGAAAGGTTGTCTCTTTTGTCTTTAGTCTATGGAGGTCACAATCATTCTCATTCATCAGAGGTTACAATCATTCTTACTCATTAGATGTCAAATTGGATGGTTTAGGAAGAGTCGTGAATTTTAGTTTGAGAATTTGTTTTGGATCTGTGTTTATTCAATGACATTATTACAACCACCCATTTTGAAATTTAAGGGACAAGAATGATTGTGACTTTCATGTATAAAGTAGTGTCGTATGCAAACTTTGTATTGTTATGGAATGTCTGTTTTCCCCGTTTGTGTCATTCGGGATACTTGAGCCTGCATGAGTATTTACTGTTCAAGCCTGCCAATGTAGAACTGCGAGATCATTATTGACCTTGGCCCTAATGCCCAAAAGAAAAAAAGAAGTCATGGAGGTCCTTTTTGCATTTGACGCTCTCTCAACATATCTTCTGTCGTCTTTCTTTATAACTCTATAATATCAATACAAACCCACAACATGGCCTTTTTGTTTTTTTGTGTCGACTATTTAAGAATGGTGGCACGACAACTACAAATTTTGTATGCTCAAATTGCTACCTTTGGGTGGGGGAGGGGTGTGGTGATGTATAAGCAAGACTCTTTTTTAAGTGCGTGTAGCTGCTATATTATGCTTTTTCGCTTTCTTTCTTATTGATTTGAACACATGCGTTTTACCTCATTTAACAAAGGAAAATGGTTTGACAGGGCTCCAATCCTATCAGTAAAGGCTCATCTCGTAACTTGAAAATTGCAATTCAAGCGTTAGATAACCTTAACATCGGCTTGAACGTTATGGTTGTATAGAAAAAATTAGGATTTTAAGTTTTAAAAATAACATATATTGTAACAAATTATCTAGATCATCAATTTCATCTTAAAAATACGTGTTTATAGATCTTCAAGATTTATAATTTTTTTTAGTTTTAAATTTTATTGTCGGTGTTAAAAATTGGGTTTAGAGCCATAATAGAGATTTTTGTTTTAAAAAGTGCTTTCTTGACGAGGATTTGAGGAGATTTTTGTTTTAAAAAGTGCTTTCTTGACGAGGATTTGAGGCGAGATTTTATTTTGTTCATCCTTTACAAATCATTCGGATAGGTATATCTATGTCAGATGGAGTCTATATATTAATTAGATTTAGACTAGTTAAAGCTAGAGGTAGATGTTAGCCGATCGGAAACGCTCTTTAGTATGAATGGCAGTTTATTGTATGATATGATACACGTACGACAAATGTTCAATACGTCGGAGGCAGCCACCTAGGCGGTGGGGTGGCTGGCCTGCCTAGGTGCTAAGGTCGTCGCCTAGGTGATCACCCGGACCCAAAAGAGCCGGTGATATTTTTTTAATTTGGTTCCCTACACCTCCCCTCATTTTATGATATACAAAATTGTCTGTTTTATTATTTAATAAGTGAATTTTGTATCTCATATATATTGTTAAGATGGCGAAAGCACGAATCAAACCTAAAACATTTACAACTTCAGACTGGAAATGAAATAGTTGTAACTCGAAATGAATTTGAGACGTCATTTAGACTGGATCCACATTCAATACTAGAACAATATTAAGATACCTAGCGGCAGAGCTAATGTCGCCAATGCCATTTCCAATCGCTCCAGGTCCCAAGACCCTCATCAGGCGGGACTCAACCTGGTTCAAGTGACGGGTTGACGTGTCAGTCTGTAACCGCTGTTGTGATAGACCTGTACTGACATGTTAGCTGCTGGTACGAAGGGAGGTTGCCGATTTCCTATTGGTTGATGGTCAGATGCAAGTACAACCAAGATAGCTGATACTCGACGACAATCAAAATGTCGTCGGCGCTAATCGGAGCTGTTTCAAACTACGATTGACAAAATCAGAGCACAACACGTTAATTATCTGATTTATTACATGATCATTTTGCCTTTTTAGTTTTGCATTTATTTCTTTTGATTAGTTATATTTACTCCTCTTCTTTATCTCTCTAATTTGATAGGGTAAATCTTCTTCTCTCACCCCCATCTCTTGTCCTCCCCAGTGAATAGTTACTCTTGTATTATTAACAACACGTATCTCTTGATAGGTTTTACGTTTATTCCTCTCTCTCACTTCACTACTTTATGATGTAGATCTCCATTTCCCCCTTCTTTTTTAGTATAGATTTATTTGCCTCATATTTCATGATCATAAATTCTTTTAGTTTGTGGCATTGATGTTTTTTTCTAGTTTTCCTTATTAGATGGTATAGACCTATTTTTCTCATTTCTTATCTTTCACTTCCTTTTATGTGGTTAATTTTTTCGTTTCCTTGTGGCATTAACTTCTTTTTTAATTTGTTGTGGGTTCCTCTTTTCCCCTCTTACTCATTAAATAATGTAAATCTCTCCAATCTCTCACGTGTTTTAATCTCATGCTTGTTGGTTCTCCTTTATTAGATCTTTCCATTTTAGCTTTGGATGTTTGCTTTGACCTCTTTTCTTTATTTTCATCATCTTCACTTCTCTCACTCTCCATTCTCTTGTGTATTTATTTTATCCTTTTCCCTTATATTTTGTTCAATAGGTTAGCCATGTCTATTTTCTTTTAAATATATCTCCCTTTCTCACTTTTTATTATTATCCTTTGTTAATTATTTGTGCTTATCGTCCTCTTTCCCTTTTTTAATGAATAATTCCTTACTTCTCTCTATTTCATTCATCTTAATCCTCTTTCTTATGCTTTTTCATTTCATTTATTTTATTTTATTTTATTTAGTCTTGTTACTTTTGTTGTATATTTTTATTAGTATTGAGTATCTTCTACTCTCCTCTCTTCTATTTTACTTTTCTTCTCATGTTATAATAATATCCATATTCGCATCTCGTACTCATATCTCTATGCCTCGTCGATGAGGACCTCCTCCTATTCTTTCTTCGCAACAGCACCGGCATCACTATGGTATTATCTCTCTCCTTCATCTTATGCCATGCATGTTTGGGTTAGACTCTTTCTTTATCTTCCATGCTTTTTAATTTTTTATTCTTCCTGCATCTAGTAGTTAGATTTTGTACTCCTGTTTATTTGCATCTTCCTAATTTAGTGGCTTATTTGTGATTTTCTTCTTTCGTTCTTTCTTTTTTGTATATCTATCTTTCTAAAATCTCCCTCTTATCTCCAAAACTTTTCCAAAATATTATTGGTTGTGTTCTAAGATTAAGATAAAAGGGAAGTCGGCTTTGTCGGCGATTTGAGAGAGATAAGGTCTTAGGACCCAATTCTCCCTCGGAGTGTAATTCGACGGGACCCATACTCTACCAACTCATTGATTTGTTTGCCTTGAAAACAAAGCTGGGGCGTAGTCTCTTACCCGCAATTTCGAGTATAAACAGTCTGGCGCCCACTGTGGGACCCGTCATGCTTCTGTTCCATCTTAGTTGTTGAAGCGACCTCTCGGGCCTTTGTTTCTAGGAGCCGCCCTCAACGCGGAATTCATCTCGGCTCGTTGCGAGCTCTTGTTTCTTTTTGGGGTTCATAACTAACAAAAGTTGTCAAGAGAAGTGTCAAAATGCCCCTCGGCAAATTTTGCCCATCCCGGTTCGCCCCCGTGTTCTTTCTGAAAGTCTAGGAGCCCAGCGTCAGTGGCACGGTCGCCAGTGCCATTGCCAGTGGTGCCATGCCTCTGTGGCTCCAGAAGGTTACTTGGCACTTAGAGGCTTGTTGTTGGCCTTTTCGGCCTCTTCTACTATGTTTAAGGGAAAAGGGTTTGATGTCAGGACCCTGACCCCTTGATCTTTAGTCATGACCGCTTGGGACCACGGAACTTCGGCACTGGGATTCTGTTGCCTCGGACCTTCCTTCTTTTGTTAGTAGTGTAGCTTTTATCGTTTTCTTTCTTTCTTGTGCCTACCCGACACCTTTCTTTGTGAGGGATCCTCTCCCTCATCCCTAACTTGCACCTCGAGTAGGGTTATACCCGACTCTAAGCATGCTTGAGTCGACCCAAGTTGTGCTCTTTGTTTGGCTCGTGCTTCGGACCCTTTAACCTGAAGTGCACATTGCTTAGCACCAAGGTGTCCGACACTCAGTCATTGTTAGGGTGACTAGCCCTCCACTTTCACAGCGCCTTGATTTAGTTTGCCGTATCGAAGTGCACCTCATTTGGTGTAATTAAAGAGCATCGTGTTCATTTTTGCTTGAGCACTATGTTTATTGTTTGACAGACTCTTTCACACGCACATGTGTTATTTGTCATACTTGCGCTATTGCACTCGAGCACATAAAGGTCAAACTTTCTCAACTATAGTTTTCAAAAAACCTACATTCAGCCTTCATGTTTCTGGAGTAGGCACCTAGTTCGTAAAAGAAGATCAGTAGGGATCGTGAACCCTCAATGGGAATACCCTCTCCATAAACTCGGCCTCTAAGAACACCTCAAAATACTTTGGACCATAGGTCGCTTATAGGAGTGGCCCAGACCAAAGGTGGGTGTACCCTGTTACCTTACCTCATTTCCAACAATAGGAGTTACGCTAGGTAGTAGCTCTAAGCTTGGCCCTACCCACTAACGGTTTAGAGGTATCAGTGTCTTTTCGCTTGAACTGTGTACCTAATTAGTGAGATGTATTATGACCTAAGTATGGTGGCGGGAGAGTCGGACACCGAGTCGATCACCAACTCATTCTAAATGTCAGGTACGTCGATCGACCGTCCATCGGGACAATGTGTAGCTATCACATGGGACTATGGAGCCGAACCTCTGCCTGGATCAGTAGTTAGGTCACCTAG